AACATTTGCAACGTCCTTTTCCTTTCTCTTTCCATGTCCCCACTTAATGTCCTCTACTCTTCAGGGACGTGGTGTCATTGTCCTTAGCAGGGGCCAAAGAGTGAATCTGGGCTCCGTCTTGCCCATAACTTTCAAATCGAAGGCCAGTCATTTATCCCCAGTAAGCCCTAATCGCTACACTGAGATTTCCAGTTCAGTCACCCCCATCACGGTTGTTTTGATGTTCCTGGTCTCCCTACTTCCAGTCTTACCTGAGGATATTGTATTTCTGCTCACAATTTTGATGGCAACATGTCACCTCTGAGCTCAGCCCTATCTCGCATCCTCACCACCAACCAATCACCAAGGCCTCTGATTTTACCTCCCAAATATCACTCAACTTTGAGTGTCTCCAAACCCAATGCATGCCCTTGTTGAGGTCACGATCACCTCTCATCAGATGAGAGGATTACTCAGGGTTTGGCCGTTTGTCTCCACTGCCATCCCTCAGGACAAAGTGTTAACTCCTTAACACAGCTGACAGGCTGCTCACTAAGCTGTCTCTCACCTCCTGCCTCCCTGCTCTCTACTGATAACCTCCATGCTGGGCCTTCACATAGACTACTCTCCTGTCTAAAACATTCTTACATCTCTCCCTTTGGCTAACTCCTACTCATCCTTCAGGTCTCAGCTTTGATATATACCAAACAACAACACTCTCATAAAACTGGACATACTTCCCTCACGAGCAGGAGATGCTTCTTCCCCAGTCCTGACATCTCCCTACTGAGAGAAGCTCAGGTAGTACAACTCCAGTCAACCTGCTAGGGACGTTTGGATGCTTGTCCCTTGAAACCTCATGTTGAAATGTGATCCCCAATGTTGGAGGTGGGGACTAATAGGAGGTGCCTCGGTTATGGGGGCAGATCCATCACGAATGTCATAGTACCATCCTCATCCTGGCAGTGGCAAGTGAGTCTGCACTCTTAGTTCCCACTAAAGCAGGCTGGGAAAGAACCTGGCACCTCCCAAGACCCTCTCACTTCCATCTCTGCAAACTCCAGTTCCCCTTCACCTTCTGCCACAAGTGCAGGCAGCCTTAGGCCATCACCAGATGCAGATGCTCAGTCTTGAACTTGTCCAGGCATCAGAATCATGAGCCAAACAAACCTTTTTCTTTATAAATTACCCAGCCTCAGGTGTTCCTTTATAACAACACAAACTGAGGTACAATCTGTCCCTGCAGAGACAGTTGATATGACCGGTAAATTTTGACAGGATCGTTGGGTATGAACAGTCCTCCTTGGTCTCCCTCTTGGGAGCCAGCTGCCTTCAGAGGGCAATATTCCGCCTTCCTCCAGAGTTATGTAAGTCTGTCTACTTCGGGAGATGCAGCTGATGGGCCCAGCTGCCTCTCACAAACCACAATAAAAGTGATACTTTGGCTTCCACCTTTACTCATTTTTCAGACTGGAAAAAAAGGATGCTATTTATTTGGGATCCCCTCCAAAGGCAAGAACACCCAACCTAACATGCAGCACATCACACCGTAACACCATTGGACTCTAAGCTTCCTGACAGCAGGGATCAGCTCTTCTTCTCACCCTCATATCCCTAGTAAGGTGCCTAGCAAAAAGTAAATGCTCAATTTTCTACATAAATAAGAAAAGCCCACCATGCCCTGTCCCCCAGCAACCTGACTGATCTCATCTCCACACGCTTCTCTGTTCCCATACTTCACCAACTCCACAATACCAAACCACTTCAATTTTTATAAATAAGCCACTCCTTCACTTCTTGATACATGCTATTCCTTAGGTCTGTATTGCCATTGGGACCACACAAATTCCATCTCCTGGTTTAACAGTAGGCTACTGGGGCCACCTCCTCCATGAAGCCTACCTTGCCTCCTCTAGGTATGCAGTTTGGGTCATATACGCATTATAATACACATCTGCATCTTCACAGTCTATTGATGATGTGACTCACTAGAGTACCATTTTTCAGATTTCTCTGACTGTGAAACGTAGCAAGAAATCTGTTTTATATAGCAACATACACATGTTCATAGCAACACAGTACACATATTCATTCATGTAACAGATACATGAATGTTTAGTCTATGCCAAGCACTGTTCTAGGTATAAACAGTGAACAAAACAGATGAAAATATTTGCCTGCATACAGCTTATATTCCAGAATTTTACACTGAGTAAAGAAATACTTAGGCTTCCAGATTTAAAAAAATATATATAGAAAACACATCTAGCTGGTTTTATACTGCTCCAAGACAATATTCATCATGAGAAAGCAATGAAACAAAGTTGACTACACTCTAAGGGAAAATGTGACATCCAAGTAAAATTATGCCTATCCATCCTTTTACCAGAACAGATGCCTGGAATGATGTTCACCAAACGTTAAACCTAGTTAATTTTGGGTGGCCACTTTGAGGTCATATGTTACTTTGTTTTTTAAACTGTATTGCTGAATAATAGAGGCCAGGAACCATTTTTCTAAAAATAGTGATTTTATTCTTGATAGTTACTACTTTTTTTTTTTAAGATGAAGTCTCACTCTTTGAGATATATAAGTAATAATATATAAAATAAAATATATATTTTATTATATAAATATATATAAACTATATGTAAAAATAAAAAATAATATATAAAAATATAAAAATATAAAACAAAATAAACAACCTTACTACATGAGATGAATTTAGATATACCCTATTCTATTCCGATTTTTTTTTTTTTTTTGAGATGGAGTCTCACTCTATCGTCAGGTTGGAGTGCAGTAGTGCAATCTCAGCTCACTGCAACCTCCGCCTCCTGGGTTCAAGGGATTCTCCTGCCTCAGCCTCCCAAGTAGCTGGGACTACAGTCATACACCACCACGCCCAGCTAACTTTTGTATTTTTAGTAGAGACAGGGTTTCACCATGTTGGCCAGGATGGTCTTGATCTCTTGATCTCATGATCTGCCCGCCTCAGCCTCCCAAAGGGCTGTTTTGCTCCATTAAATTGATTTTAAGGCCTACTCATTCGTTATTACTTGTGGCTTAAAAAACATATATGAGACTATACTGCATTGAAGGTAGGAATGTCTTTCAACCACAAATTGCCAAAGAATGCCCAACACTCAGTAGGTACTTAATTAATTAGTGTTTCCTCATAAACAAATGAATGACTGAATGTTTTCCTCAATAGAACTGAGAGCAACTTGACAGCAGTTGAGAGCAGGGCTCATATTTTTTATATCTTGAGTCCCAGGGCATAGCACAGGGCCAGACAGAAAGCCAGTGCTCAATAAATACTTATTAAATTGAAATGAGGTCTACTCGTCAGCAGCACAATTTAATAGAGCAATTCACAAATAGGTTTTAAAACAAATGAAACATTTGCCTTGGTTCTTGGTAACAAAAATATTCAAATTAGGGGTTTTCATTATAACAACTTGTATTTGCCCACAAAAACATGATGTTCCCTGGAACAACCTCCCACTTCACAGATGTAAACACTTCTCTTCTCCCAGGAATTCAAACTTGAGGCTACATGTGCTACGAAGGGGACAAACCACACTAACAGGTGCCTCTCTCGCCTCCCAACCTCGATCCTCAAAACTTCCACTTTTTTTTCCGCAAAGAAATTTCAAAATTGTCAGATTACAATTAAGTTTTAAATGAGTTCATTTTCTCCCTCTCAAACTGTATTGTCTAATGGTGTCAGAAGAGCTCGGATAAGGTCTGTGTGACCTTATTACTACAATCCTAATGATGTGTGTTAAAAAATAAAATCTCTGAAGACATCACAGAGCTGTTGCAGGTTTCAAATGAGAAATGTCTCTGAGAAAGAATCAGAAAATATAGGCTTCCTTTAAAATGATCTATAACCCAGTTTTGACAGGGAGAAAAAAAAAAAAACTCAGCAAAAACCTAACCCTGAACAAATCTCACTTTTTAAAAGAAAGATCTCTTACTTGAGGGAACCACCATACTAATTCTTTGTATTCCTATTTGGAACTACTGCTGCCCGTATTTTTTGAAAAAGAACACCATGGCTGTCTATTCTATCAAATCAAAAGAAGTTTTTTCGCAGTTGAGGTATTAATTTTTCTGCCTGGCTAAAGAAAACGTGCTTTTTAGTTTACTTATTACAATTTTGTAATTTAGATGTGTGGAGGGCTTGTCTTGGATATTGTTTTTTTTTCTTTGTTTTTGTTTCTCTTTCCTCTTCCTGTTTTCACTTGCAGTATTTTATTTCCATTATGGGTGCAATGGAGACATGCTGACAGGAGTGTAGGCGAGCGAGAGGGGGAAGCCAGTGTAAGACAGACCTCTCCCAGCTATACATCTGGGAAGGTGAGTCTATAAACAGCTGGGGTTTTGTTTTTGTTTCATTTTTATGAGAATTTGTTTGTATTAGTGTTTAATTCCATAACACATAGATGGGCTTTCCTCATAATAAACTACGTCAAAGACCAGTGCTCGCTCGGCCTGGTCCCTGTCTCACTCCTTAACGGACGGGCGAGGGCCATATTCTTCCCTACCTCTTCCTACCTATTTACACACAAGTTGGAAACTTGCAGAACTGTGAAAACTTCGAAAATCACGTGTCTTCCCTATTCCCCTACACACATCAGGGCTTCATCTGAGAGTGGAATACGACCTGGGCTCCGGTGCTCACTCCTGGCATTGCCCTTCGCCCCGGGACCTGGTGGCCCTCTCTCTGCGCCCCAAAACGCCCTGTCCTAGCTCCCTGAGCCCCTGGGACGCCGGGTCCTCTCTTTGTGCCCCAAGACCTCCTGCCCTTTCTCTTGCGCCCCGAGACGTCCTGTCCTCTCTTCCGCGCTCCGGGTTGCTCTGTCCTCTCTCTTTGCGTCCCGGGACGCCTTGTCCTCGCTCCCCGAGGTCCGGGACGCCTTGTCCTCGCTCTCCGAGGCCCCGGGACGCTCTGTCCTCTCTCTTTGCGCGTCGGGACGCCCTGTCCTCGCTCCCCGCGACCCCGGCCGCCTTACCCGCCGAGGAGCGAGGCCACAGGGCAGCCGCGACCCCAGAGCAAAGAAAACCCTGGCCTGCAGCGTCATGTTGATTCTCCGAAACTCGGGCCGGAAGGCGGCGAAGGCGGTACAGCGCAGGGGGCGGGACAAAAAGAACAAAGTTCTTGCGGCTGGGATCGCTGCCTGGGCTGCCGGGAGCTGGGACCGGGACTGGGACCCAGGCGGCGAGGACGCCCCGCGGCCGTGACCTTCAGGTTCGGGCCGAGGGCGCCGCCTAGCTCTGCCTGGCCGATGCTCTCTCCTGCTCTCTGGTCCGGCCGGGAGTGCTTTGTATAGCAGAGCACGGAGGTCTCTGTGTCCTTGAGCGGATGGACGAACCCCTGCGCCCTGCAAAGGTTTGCAGATTGCAGCTGCGCGTCCCCTACACTGCCCACCAAGGGCGAAAACCTTTTTCAGTAGTATATGTTTATCCCTTAAGTGCTTCTTTAAGGGCGGAGTCCGCGTGGCGCCAAGTCACATATTATCAGAATAATATGTTGGATGTAATTTCCGTAAGGCTAAGAGCCTGAAAAACACCAAGGCCAACTGCCTGCGTTTTGACTTTTCGCAGGACACACCGCCCCCTGTCGCCGAGATGCAGCGTGGCTCCGACCGCCCAACCTTGGCTTTTTTCTCGAAGTTATACACATGTTAAAGGCAAACGCAGATTCAGTATATCGTTCTCCATCTTAGTGTAATATACCTGTTGACACAAGGCATTAGCTCAGATCACATTTCTTTCCTCATTCGTAAAATGTGAATATTCATGGCTAATTCAGGATTTTAGATAAAAGAGGACGGGTGTGAGGTCCCAGGCTCAGGCTGGTGGTAGATGATATTGAGTGTTTACTTTGTGGTGGAATTTTCCAAATGCTGATAAAGAAAGCAGCCCTTGATATTCAGAACCTGGCCCGGGACTCACAGCTAGGTCATACTAATCTATTAAACTTAAACCTTCACACAGAATACCAATTCAGACAAGGTTGCTCTGCGATCATAATAAGGTGAGGCAAAGCAAGTCAACTTCATAGTTCTAAGCAGCAATGAAAACAACTCATGGTGCCACCCACAAAACACCAAACACAATGTCTCTCGGCCAAAATGAGTTGCTATTTCTTTTCCAATTACAACTTTAACCTCATTCTACCTATAGACTTAATCTTCTTTCACTATAAGTAAGATTTATTGAGATTCTCACAGAATTGCCCACCCTTTCTGACAACATCCATTCTAGAGTGAACCCCAACTTCCTTAGGCCATCTCCTAAATCATTTGAAATCCAAACCCTATAAGAAGTTCTTTCTAACATTCTGACACCTCTTACTGAGACACCCTATAATTTTTCATGGCATGTGTCCTTCACTGCAAAAAATAATAAACCCAACTGGTTTATTTGTCAACTGCAGATTTGTCCCTGGTTATCTTTGGCTGGAAGGCCTCGACAGTGCCCTGAAAGCAGTATTAATTCATTGTCTCAGTGTTGATTTTCCTGAAGCAGACTCTGAGGCCGGTATCCAGTGCAAGTGACCCATTTGAGAACCTGGGGAAGCACTAGCAGGGAAGAGAAGGTAGGCAACCCAGGTAAGTCATCCAGGCGTCTGGCAGTGGGCTACTAGAGCTTAATGCCACAGGGGAAACTCTGGGTGGAAATGGAGAACCCACGCCTCAGAGAAATCCCACCCAAGGGATGAGGAAGCTGGGGTATTAGCACACAAACTCTCACGCCAACGGTTGAGGGCCAGGACTATTGATTCCCCAGCACTCTGGCCTGTGACAGTAGCATCAGGGCTTGCTTCAGAAAAAGACCTCAAGAAAAGTGACACAGACACTATCGTTGGAGTTAGATGGTGCCCTGAAATAGTGTTTACCACAAACTTAGCTGCAATAAAAGTCTGACTCCCTTTTTTGACGTTTGATTGCTGATAGTTCTTCCCCTGTTTCCCGCATCTGGGCAAGTCGATAAGAAAGCCCAGACGCTCCCTCCTTTGGCTCTGGCAGCCAAGCCCTTTCTCCTGTGTGGAAACTGTTTGTCCAGCCCAATCCCCTAACCATTATAAAAACCCCCAAACATTTTTTCCTTGCTATATTAGTTTTCTAGGGCTGCCATGAGAAAGTGTGGCAGGCCAGGTTTCACTAACGCAGGCCTCCATCACAACTGTTTCAGTAGTGACTGAGTGGATAAGTTAAATATTAAAAGCTAAAAAAAAAAAAACCCAATGTCCTTATACAAAGGCTGGGATGTAAGAAAAGCCCATCAACAGTTTTTCCTAGACCTTTCCTGGGCCTTAAACTTAAAGCATGACAAAATAATGAAGGAATTCTTAACAGGACCCATTCAGGATTAAACAAGTTTTATTGGGGGCCTGAAGAAACTCCCCAGGCCTCCACAAACGAGTCTATTGGAGGACTGAAGGAACTCCCCAAACCTCCATAATCTAGCAGGAGACCAAATAAGGGTAATCACCCAGCACCAGCACCCATTTAGACTAAGTAAATTTACTGAGGCTCCAGAGGAAGGTCTTCAGGACTCAGACCTTAGTTATAGATTAAAAGAAGTTAATCACTTATGTCTTTAGATGAGTGTACACTTACATGTAGACATATAGCTTGGAAGGTATATAAACTCTGAAAAACTTTGTAATTTTGAGTTGGTCTGGTGATAATTTCCAAGCCTGTAACTGGTTACAGAAATAAAAACTTTCTTCCTCCCCAGTTCATCGGCATCTCATTACTGGCAGCAAGAAATAGCAGCTGACCCTCAGTTTGGTCCAGGACCAAAACTACCACAGATTGGGTGGCTTAAATGGAAATTTGTTTCCTCACAGTTCTGGAGGCCACAAGTCAGCAGAGCTGGTTTCTTGTGGAGCCACTGTGGGACCATCTTCTCCCTATGTCTTTACATGATCCTCCTGTGCATCTTTCAATTTCTAAATTGCCTCTCCTTATGAGAACACCAGTCGTGTTGGATTAAGGCCCACCCTCAATGACCTAATTTAACTGGAATTATCTCCCTAAAGACTCTATCTCCAAATATAGTCACATTCTGACGTATTGGGGGTTAAGAGTTCAATGTATATATTTGGCTGGGAGAAAGGAGAAGTAACACAATTCAGCCCAGAACACTTGCTCTCTTAAATAACTTTTAGACTAACTTAGGAGGCCTGTTCTGTCCTCCCAAAAAAAAACCTTGAGAATATATCAATAATAAACCTTTTGCTACGCTCTTGATATATGTATAGGGGCACTGTCATTCTTGACTTCCAAACCAAATTTTAAGTGGGGTTCATCTTGTTTCTAAGAAGAAGTTGCAACATTAGTGATACGGTTTGGATTTGTGTCCCTACCCAAACCTCATGTCAAATTGTAATCCCCAGTGTTGGAATTGGGGCCTGGTAGGAGGTGATTGGATCATGGGGGCAAATTTCTCCCTTTGGTGCTATTCTCCTGATAGAGTTCTCAGGAAATCTGGTTGTTTAAAAGTGTGTGGCACTTCCCACCCTCTCTGTTCTTCCTGCTCCAGCTGTGTAAGACAGCCTGCTTCCCCTTCGCCTTCCACCATGATTGTAAGTTTCCTGAGGCCTCTCCAGTCATACTTTCTGTGTAGCCTACAGAACTGTGAGTCAATTAAACCTCGTTTCTTTATAAATTACTCAGTATGAGGTATGTCTTTATAGCATTGTGAGAATGGAGTAACACAATTAGTAACTTAAAACAATCATTTATTATTTCACAGTTCACAGGAGTCAGGAGTCTAAGCACAGCTTAGCTGAATCCTTGGCTCTGGGTCTCAGAAGACTGCAATCAAGGTGTCAACTGGGCTGTTTTTATCTGGAGTCCCAACGGGAGAAGATCTGATCCCAAGCTCATCCAGATTGTTTGCAGAATTATTTTCCTCATAGCCATATGACTGACAGCCCCAGATTTTTGCTGGATGTTGGCTGGAGTTGCCTTCGGCTTCTCGAAGTCACCTCCATCCCTTCCCATGCGGGCTTCCTCAGCAGACTGCTTACCACATCAAGCCAGCAAGGATAATTTTGTACCTCAGGGAGGCCCCAGCCCATCTTTTAAGGACAATCATCAGATTAAGTGAGGCCCACTGAAAATAGTCTTAATCTCCTTTTGATTAAATAAAATCAACTGACTTGGGACTGCAAACCAAAAAGTGACTGAGGCAGGTCTCTGTCGGTTAGAGATCATTTAGCCAAGGTTGAGGACATGTCTGGGGAAAAAAATGCAACTCACAGAAGCATCTGTAACCTATGCTTTTTCCAAAGGGGGTTTTGGGAAATTCTTTATTTAAAAAAGAAGAGCAAGCAGGAGAAAAAAAAAAAAAAAAAAGGAAAAGAGGGTAGACAGTGAGGCAGATGGTTCCAGTCTTTTGAGACTCTGATTAGCCTCAGTAAATCTACATTTTACATAAGATAAAATAAACATGTGAAAAGAGGGAGTAGATGAAATGACGTTATGTCCTGGGATTATGAAATTACAGCTATTGGTTTGGGAACAACAACAACAAACAGACAGTATTGGTGACTGAGTTCCCAAGCTTAACTTTCCTTATGGCATAGTGAGTTCAGAGTCCCTATATTCTGTTTTTCTTTCACAGGATCTTAGTTGCATCTGCAAAATTCTTTCACCTTTGCCACATACTGTTAACTAGAAGTGAGTCACAGTTCCTATCCATACTCAAGGGAAGGGAATTATACAGAGCATGAATACCAGGGACTGGACTCATGGGACCATCTGAGAACTCTGTCTACCACAACCATACACTAGACATGAAAAAGAAGGTTGCAAAAGTTTTAGGTAGACCCCCCGTATTAGTCCATTCTTGCATTCCTATAAATAAATATCGAAGACTGAGTAATTTATAGGAAAAGAGGTTTAATTGGCTCATGGTTCTGCAGGCGGTATAGGAAGCACTGTGGCATCTGCTTCTGGGGAGGCCTGAGGAAGCTTCCACTCATGGAAGGCAAAGGGACACACTTTTAAATGACTAGATCTCAGGAGAATTCCCTCACTATGGCAAAGATAGTACCAAGTGGAATAGTGAGTGCTAAACCATTCATGAGAAACCTGCCCCTGTGATCTAATCACCTTCTACCAGGCTCCACCTCCAACACCAGGGATTACATTTCAATATATGGGATTTGGGTGGGGACACACATCAAAACTGCATCACCCAC